GAGTCAATATTACCCTTCAAGTTCTGAAGAGGGGAAATCAAAGTTTGGAACTTACACAGATACATCATACCCCCAAATCCATTAGTAGAAACCTCTTTGAATAGAGACAGGAAGATGTGTTAGTTGAAAATTTTGTTTTAGAAAGAACAAATTTATATAGGAAGATGCTACCACTTTAATTACAAATCATGAAAAAGTTGAGAACCCAACAGTAGTTATAAACCAGGCTTCTCAATTACGGTGCACATTAGTATTTCCCAGAGAGCTTTCAAAAAAATACAGACGCTCAAGCCTTAACCTCTAGAAAGTCTGACTTAATTGGCTGGGTGGGGTGTGGCACACTTTTTTAAAAGCTCTTCTGGAGATGTTATTATGCAGCCAGGATTAAGAACTACAGTCATATAGACTATAAATGGGGAATTAGGGACAATGATTATAGATGGGAAAAAAAAAAAGAGTGGAATAAAGTGTCAAGATACATTTGGTAATATACTGAATAATTCATAGATTTTACAAATATGTATTAAGATGTGTACAACATAGCTCTTATCCAAGACATTTAAATTCAAAGCCCAATAGAAAGATCTAAAATAAAAACACAAACCATAACAAAACATGGTAGGAGACTGTAAAATTTCATTAGAGAATATAAACGAGGTGCTCTGAGAGCTCAGAAGTCACCAAAAATGTTTACATAAAAAATAATTTCAAAGTCAAAAAATACAGAAGGAATGAGAAAAAAGAATACATACATAAGCATTATTTGCTACTAATGACTAGAAGAAATGTGATGTTAGGTTAATAGTACACAGAAAAATGGTAGACAAATAAAACTATTAAAATTCCTTTTTGAAAATAGAGATTTGCATTTGTGGTAGTTTAACTACTGGAAAATTTTGGTATGAAAATTTCCTTTAAAAGCAATAGAACCAGTCTGGGCAACATAGAAAGACCTTATCTCTACAAAAAAATAAAAAAAATTAGCCTGGCATGGTGGCACAGACCTATAGTCCTAGCTACCCAGGAGGCTGGGGCAGGAAGATCATTTGAGCCCAGGAGTTCAAGGCTATAGTTGAGCTATGATCGCACCATTGCACTCCAGCCTGGGTGACAGGGCAAGACTGCATATATATGTATTAAATAGAGCATTTTTAAAAAGCAATAGAAAGAACATTATAGCCAAAAGCAAAACCTGGACTAAGATCCATAAAATGGAAAGACTATTAACAAATAAATTCAAAAGAATCCTTTGCTTGTCCTACTGAAAGATTTCTTATTTCAAGTAAGACCCTATGCTTAGTATATGGCCCACAAAATGACTAAAATGTGGCCTCTGATATAAAAAAGACAAAAGCGTGTGAAATTCAAGTAGAATATTTCTTCTTTCCTAATGGGAGAGTATAATTATCTCTTATGCTTATGTTACCATAAGAGACCTCCAATACATATTTTCCTGGATAAAAATCAATCTATAAAGCATCCAAAACTAATTCTTATGCTTCTAAATAAAGTTAAATGGCCTTAAATATATCTGTGAAGCTATACAGGAAAGTAACTAATGTTGATATTTAACAACCTTTAGCAAAAGGAAAGATAAAGTCAAGAAAGTAAATCATCATACAGGATTTGACAGATTTAAAACAAAACACAAACAAAAGAATGGGGTTACAATAACAAGTCTTAAACTACTTCAAGTATGATTCAGTATTCTTCCTTGATTATAAAAACATTTTCTTTTAGACTACTTTTGTTTTTGAAAATAATTTGCTATATGTTTATCAGAAGTTAGAGACTCAAGTTCTGATACCAAACTTTTAAACAGTTATAAACATATTGGAACTGACATTTGATAGGAAACTTTACAGAAATGTTTTACATGAAGAAATAATATTCTTTACACATGTGGTTCTAAAAAAAAAATAGAAAGATATTGAGCAAAATGTAGAAAATCAGAACATCTGAAAGTCTTTTTAAAAATCATAGACATTTTTGGCCGAGCATGGCGGCTAAGGCCCGTAATCACAGCACTCTGCGGGGCCAAGGAAGGCAGATGGTTTGAGCTCAGGAGTTTGAGACCAGCCTGGGTAACATGGCAAGACCTCATCTACTAAAAATAAAAATCAGGCCAGGCGTGGTAGCTCACACTTGTAATCCCAGCACTTTGGGAGGCCGAGATGGGCAGATCACCTAGGTCAGGAGTTTGAGACCACCCTGGCTAATATGATGAAACCCTCTCTCTACTAAAAATACAAAAATTAGCTGGACACGGTGGCGGGCGCCTGTAATCCCAGCTACCCGGGAGCTGAGGCAGGAGAATCGCCTGAACCCGGGAGGTGGAGGTTGCAGTGAACCAAGATCGTGCCACTGTACTCAAGCCTGGGCAACAGAGCTAGACTCCATCTCAAAAACATAAAAAATAAATAAATAAAAATTAGCTAGGCAGGGTGGTATGTGTTTTTTAATCCCATCTACTCAGGAGGCTGAGGTGAGAGAATGGCTAGAGCCAGTGGTAGGCGGGGGGACTGAAGGCGGGAGCAGAGGTTGCAATAAGCTGAGAGCACACCACTGCACTCTAGCCTGGGCAACAGAGCGAGACCCTGTCTCGAAATAAATAAATAAATAAATAAATAAATAAAAGACATTTTTAAATGAAGAATATTTTATACTTTGAGTTAAGTTACCAAAAAAAGTAAGGTTGAAAACAAAGGTAAGCTCTTCCTTGAGCTCATAATAAATACAAGATTATAAAATTTATATTCTGTAGCCCAATAAATCATAAACTACTGAGAATAAATAAATATCCAACCCACTTCTTAAAATCACTTTTCATGAGTATTGACCATAAACTCTGAGTCAAGGAAAACAAAAGTAAACTGCATGAACTTTGAGGTAAAAATTAGAATAGTTTGAGAATTTGTGTTTGCCAAGGCAGCATTCAATCTTTGATTCTACTTCTCAGCCCTGTACTATCTACAGGATATTGGCTCCCAATATTCATCAACACTCATGATGTTATACAGTAAGTGATAAGTTAAATATACAGCTTCTGTCATTATAGAAATTCATTTTTTAAGGCAACGACAACACTGACATTTATTGAAAAAATATATACCACATACAAATTCAAAAAAGATAAATCCTTATAATTTCAGAGGTGAAAGAAAAATTAAAAATCATGTAGTTTTCCTGGGTTCCATGCTGGGGAATTCAAAGTAGACTTCAAAAAAGCATGAATCACCCAAAATTGATTGCAAAAATTTTATGTACAGGTATATTTTTGTGGAAAGATGGTCCAACAGTAGCTTTCAATGGATTCTCAGAGAGGTTTGTGACTCAGAACGTTTTCTATAACCATCCATGTCTGGATTAGATTCCACCCCTAAGGTCAGAGCTCCACAGCAATCTTTCCATTCATCACACTGTATTACACTATATAACTATGCAGTAATTTGTGTTTCCTTCCCCATGCCAAATAAATTGTAGAGACTTTTAGATCAATGAACATCTCTACTTTATTCCTGACTATATTCCCAGTATTCATTCTGTCTGGTACTTGACATGTAATAGGTGCTCAACAGCCATACCTTAACTGAATGAATCAATCAATTGTTCATCTAATTAAATTTTGTTCAAGCTTTAAAAATGCATCCTAAACATTCCAATTACATATCTTCAGTCAATAAGAATTTATAATTCAATTAAAATAAAATTTTTTGAGGCCAACTTTTCCATAATGGATTAAGTAACAAAGCACATCTTCCATAAAACTTTATAGTCACTTACTAGTATGTGGTTTGGATGGTTTTCCCAGCAGATAGGAACTTCTACAAGGATACTGCAAGCCTGCTTAATGGAATGAAATTTTGATGGCTTGCAATTAGTCTATAAAATAAACACTTTGGAATGATTTCATATAAAATATCTAAAACCTAAGGTATTTTCAAAATAATAGGAGAAATTGGGTATTTTCTATCACTATGTTACATATTTTTTCTTTTGCAATTTGATAAACAGACTGTGAATCAGAAATGAATTTTAATAATTATTCCATTTTAAATCTACTAAAGGCTTTTAACACAAACTTAATTTTAAATATACTGGTATTCTCTCCACCTTGACCTACCATTGTGACACAAAGCTATTTCAACATTTTCAAAATGTTATTTTTAATGTGACTGGCCTTGCATTTATCTCATCTCCTAGAAATTTTAATTTTGCTTCTCCATCCATATGTCTCTGTAAATATTATTCTTTTTTTTTTTTTTTTTTTTTTTTTTTTGAGACGGAGTCTGGCTCTGTTGCCCAGGCTGGAGTGCAGTGGCCGGATCTCAGCTCACTGCAAGCCCCGCCTCCCGGGTTCACGCCATTCTCCTGCCTCAGCCTCCCGAGTAGCTGGGACTACAGGCGCCCGCCACCTCGCCCAGCTAATTTTTTTTTGTATTTTAGTAGAGACGGGGTTTCACCGTGTTAGCCAGGATGGTCTCGATCTCCTGAACTCGTGATCCGCCCGTCTCGGCCTCCCAAAGTGCTGGGATTACAGGCTTGAGCCACCCTGGAGTGCAGTGGCCTGATCTCAGCTCACTGCAAGCTCCGCCTCCCGGGTTTACGCCATTCTCCTGCCTCAGCCTCCCGAGTAGCTGGGACTACAGGCGCCCACCACCTCGCCCGGCTAGTTTTTTGTATTTTTTAGTAGAGACGGGGTTTCACCGTGTTAGCCAGGATGGTCTCGATCTCCTGACCTCGTGATCCGCCCTTCTCGGCCTCCCAAAGTGCTGGGATTACAGGCTTGAGCCACCGCGCCCGGCCTGTAAATATTATTCTTTATGATTTTTGTTTTGCTAATACTATAATATCAGATAACATCATTAAACAAATGATCAATCTGGAAGAAAAAATATCCATTTAACTTTAAATACATTCACATTTTTAACATTACATGCTAAATTTTATCCTTTAAAAATTTCTAACATTATTTCTAGTGGCTTACTTAATGGACATACCGGAAACTGTGAATGCCCTGAAGTTCCTGCTGTAGAACCTCTTGTGTTGTTGCTATTAAGTCCAATGCTCCAACAAATTCAGAAGTAGATAGTAACACCTGTACTGTAGGCTGAGTCTGGTGTACAGTGGCCATTAACTTCAGCTTATTGTATACTTTAACACAATTATTTCTGGTAAGTGCCAGTCTTAAAATGTGGAGTGATCCTTCACACATTACTTTATCAATCTGTGCAATTTTATCTCGAAGCATTTTTACAGCCTGGGAAGTTTTCTTGAGGTAGTCCTGCAACTCGTGTTGAGAGGTCATTGCATGAAAAAATGCTTCTGAACGTAGAGAGATCTGGTGAGCAATGTTTACTTCCACAATATCCAGATAATGGCTCAGCTTAAAAGGGAAGGAAAAAAAATATGAAGTATTATGAGCATACCTTCCTTGATTATCCAAATACTTTATGACAATGATAAAAGATTTCTACATATACTTTAAATTCTATTGTGTGAATTGTTTGATTGTGAGATTCTTGAAATTGGGCACAACAAAATGGAAGGAAGATAAAGAGTACAGCCCAAAGATATAAATGTAAGACAAAAGAGTACAAGGTGATTTACTTTCCTCCTCTGTTCCTATTATTACCACCTTCCAAACACCAACTGCCATCTAAAAGAGTACCCCACAGACATCTCAAATTACAATTCCAGTTTCATATATTCTAAGATCTGAGAGAAACAGAATGACCTCCTTAGCCCCCAACATCATCACACATCATTTATCTGACTAAATAGATGATTATACCTTCCATTTATTGACCTCCTCCTATGGATTAGGCACAGGTATTTTATACACATCTAATTTTTCTAATTTTAACAATCTTGAAATATAGATATTATTATTATCATTTTACAGATGAGGAAACACAGAGTCATGTAGTTACTAAGTAGCAAAATTAAAATGTTGGTATATCTCTGACTGAAAAACTGAAGCTGTTTCTATTATACCATTCTGCCTCAAAGTGCTGAATAATCCAAGATAGGCTGATGGTTCAGTCACAAATTATAGATAAGGTACTATAATTCATTTGGACTTTTTCAGGTTGCTTATTTTACATTTAAAAAGTGATTCTTTTATCAATTTGTAAAACTCAGTTTATTTCCAATGTATTTTCCTCTTAAAAGTTCGACAAACGCCTTAAACAATTAGCTCATATATATTTTATTAGTAGTACTACCAAGATTAATTCTTATATATTTAAAATGCTTTCTAAATTTCAAATATAGACTTCTAAAACTTGTTTTGCTTTTTCTTCCTTTCTAACTGCATATGCCTTTTTTGGCTATACTATCTTTCCATTTTTCACCCATTTTTTTACTTTGAGATTTTTTTAACCCACAGTTCAGACTTCAGGCATTATCTCTGAATGTCTCGGGATAATTCATAGTTTCAAAGGGTTAATGAACTTTCAACATTTAAGTCTCATAAGATTAGAAGAGACTATTTGGTCATCAAATCTGTTCCCTTAAGGAAACACAGAGTATCATTCATATTTTCAATAATGCTCCTTCAATAATCTTACAATATCTAAATAGGTTACAAACAAATTTTTCCATAGTTTAAATCTTGAGTTTATGCCCTTTTGCTCTTTCATCTTCAATATGGTTGTTCATTATTCACTAAAAAAGCAAAATCGGCACAAATGTACTAGGGTAAATTACAAGGTAACATGGACGCAATTTCCAGAATAGTAAATGGAGAATAGATAACTTTAGGACAGTGCTACCCAGAATGTGATTTATATGCTGCTGCCAATCTGTGGACTGTTTAACATGGCCATAATAAAATAAAGAATTTTGCTAGAAAGTAAATCAACCACATCATTAAGCACACTTTTTTAATGAGGTAAGCAGTGCAGTGATTTGCATTCCAGTGCAAACTCCTTATTTTACTGTAGACCAGTACTTTGCAGAGCACAATAGAATACAAATTTCGTTAATTCTAGTTATAGCATCCTTGCTCTTTAAAGCGAACACGATAAACCAGCTGTTGTCCTCATAAAAGGAGTTTAAAAGTGCTCTCTTGGAATCCTGTCTTCTATTCCTATTCTAAGAACAGAGCAGGATGAAAAGGAGTCAGAATGTAAATATAGCAAATCTGATTCTGCAATTTACAAATAAAAAAATTTCCATTACTTTAGTCACTTTAAACATTCAGCATAAGAAAAACATTTGAGTCTCAAAGATTTTTTGAATTTTCAATAATCCATTGATTTACTCTTTTCAAGGCATAACATTTTTATAGTTTATTTCCTATTAAAATGCTATAAAGGAAATAATTTTTAAATTATCTGTATTAAAAGTATCTGTATAGATTGATAAGACTACTGGCTTTTGCTGTTTTTCTCTTTTTAAGGTATTATTCTATCAGGGCATATACTTAGAATATGAAAGCCTGTGTCTTGAGTAAGCGTGTGTCTCTAAACCCATGGTTTTTGTCAGATTTATGAATTTGTTCTTAGCATGGAAAAACCTTTTTATAGGTGAAAATGTTGCCAAAGGAAAAAGCTCATTTTCATTTTCAATTGTGAGAAAAGGAATACTCATGATTCCTTCCCCACATTTCTTCTTCTCTCCTCCCCAAGCTAGTCTTTTCTCCAGTTTCTGACGAGGACTGAACCAAATTTATTGATGTCTTCCTGAGACAAGCTTTCAGATTGCCAAGGGATACCACTAAAGTAAAACAAAATCACTACTTCTCATTTTAAGAACTACCATCAGTTTTAGAAGAACTCTAAACTGAATGCTAAGAAAGAACAGAGATGAAATGTCTTTAGAAGATTCTTGATAAGTAAATTATATTTAAAGGTCTAAATATTAAATGACTTTCAAGGTGTTGACTTCTGGACTATATAGAACATTGTAAAATGTAAAGAACTGCTGACTAGTAACATGTAAAAGACTAGGCTTTGCAAAGCTACAAAAACAAGAAGAATATTGTATTTCTTTAACTCAGATATTTTTGTTTCAAAATAATCATCCCTACGTGAAAATGAAGAAAAACAGTACCTCGGAAAACATTGGTTTTCTGTGCTTTAAATCATTCTTATAAAATTAAACCATATGGGGCTGGGCACGGTGGCTCACACCTGCAATCTCAGCACTTTGGGAGGCCAAGGTGGGCAGATCATGAGGTCAGGAGTTCAAGACCAGCCTGGCCAACATGGTGAAGCCCCATCTCTACTAAAATACAAAAAATCAGCCAAGCATGGTGGTGCACACCTGTAGTCCCAGCTACTAGGGAGGCCGAGGAAGGAAAATCGCTTGAACCCAAGAGGTGGAGGTTGCGGTGAGTGGAGATTGCGCCACTGCACTCCAGCCTGGGCAATAGAGAGAGACTCCGTCTCAAAAAATAAATAAATAAAAATAAATAAAATTAGCCAATATGTAAATAAAATATCTGGGATAAATGCAAAGCAATTTATTGTGTTAGCTAATACATCCTTTCAATTAAAATTCCATCAACTGCTCTTTCAGGTAAGAAGTACTCAAATAGTAAGTTTTGCCTTATTCATCTGCACAACTTGTGTTCCACTGAGCCGAAATGCTGTTAGTTTATTAGTTAAGATTGGAAGGCTTATAGTTGTCAGTAACAACAAAAATGAATTTAAAAGTACAGCTTACTAAATAACTAAATCTGAACCCATGCAAACAGTACCGCTTAACTAGAATAGTTTCCTACATAGATAAAGTCAAAAAGAAATTACCTTTTCTTGAAGCAACTTTGAGGAAGCTGCATCACGATTTCCTTTTCCACCAGCAGTATTAAAATGAGACCATGGTAAAACTGAATTAAAAGTTAAGGAATCATCCAAGGCAAAATCTGGTTTCATAAAAATCTATTAAAAAAATGCATTTCCCTCAATTAGATAAGTATTTTCCTTATACCCATTATCTCTTCTAACATCATGATCATTAAACAAAGTTAATGTGGATCTTGAGTATGAACAGCAAAAGCAAGTAATAACGGTTATTTACACAAATATCCATTAAGAAAAATGTGTAAATTTCTCACCAAGCTTAAAATACTCATAAAAGATAGAAAATGCTTTTTGCCTTTACCAATGGAGATGGTCATTCTATTACTACATGATCATACTCACTAATGCAGTCCTACAGGTACATACCAGGGCAGATATAATACTTATCCTAAAATTTCCACATTATTTCCCACTGATAGTTTTTTAAAATGCCAAATATCAATTTCTCTAACCTATATTTCTATTTTCTCCTGCTCAAAATTGTTTTAAAATTAGTTTAGATTAAGCATACAATAAATATTAAAACCAAAACAAATTCAATTTTATGAATAGACTACTTTTCCCTTACATATCACGACCAGCTAGGCAACAAGACCTATCCGTTATATTTTGTAAATATCCCTTGAATCTCTGCTTTCCTGCATCTCCACAGCATTCAGCAGTTCAGCTCTTCAATATCTCTGGATTACAGTAAATACCTATTTACTGATATCCTTCCCTAATCCATCCCCTATACTACTGTTAGAGATACTCCTCTAAAATGTTGAGTATAACTGTATTAATTTCCTGTTTAAAACTCTCAGTAGATTCCCATGACCCACAGACCAAACTATTTAGAATGGCATCCAAAACCCTTCATTGCTTTTCTGGACCCACTTACCTCTTTGTATCTTGTCACTCCCACTATTTACCCACTACACTCTAGCAATATTCAATTCTCTTCCATACTCTTATTCTTTTTATAATGCATGTATTAATATATAAAGTATGGGCTGGGCATGGTGGCTAACGCCTGTAATCCCAGCACTTTGGGAGGCCAAGGTGGGCGGATCATGAGGTCAGGAGATCGAGACCACGGTGAAACTCTGTCTCTACTAAAAATACAAAAAATTAGCCAGGCATGGTGGCAGGCGCCTGTAGTCCCAGCTACTCAGGAGGCTGAGGCAGGAGAATGGCGTGAACCCGGGAGGCAGAGCTTGCAGTAAGCTGAAATCACGCCACTGCACTCCAGCCTGGGCAACAGAGCAAGACTCCATCTCAAAAAAAATATATATATATATATAATATATATATATATAAAGTATGTATATCTTTATATACATACATCTGGCCTAGAATGCCTTTTCTTATACATCTTCCTGAAAAACATGATGCAATCAAAAGGGCAAATGTGTCCTTCCTTATGCATGACATAATGACTCCCATCTCTGAACACAAATATATCATGCATAGTTAATTATTTACCTCATACTTTATAGAAATTATTTATTTAGTATGCATATCTCCCCCTGGAGACCATATGTTTTGCAGGGTTAGATTTATAGCTTATTTTTGTGTCTCTAGTACGAAGCATAGGGCCTAAAACGTGGTTTAATCAATTTATGTATTTATTTATATACTGTATTTTATTTGCTGATTTATTTTAACTATATACAAAAATTAGAATGAATATGGTAGAAAAAAATCTAACTAGAGACATGAGTAAATTTTCTAATCCCCGCTTTGGTATTGTAACTAAAAGTATTGATTAATTCAATAAATATTTACTGACTATTTCCGATGCTAGGCACTGAGGGAGAAACAAAGATAATTTAATAAAGAGACCCTCATCTCATGGAGCTTCAATTCAAGGGATGTGATATAATATGTATATAAAATCTTACAAGGAGACTGGGCCCGGTGGTTCACGCCTGTAATCCCAGCACTTTCGGAGGCCAGGTGGGCAGATCACTTGAAGTCAGAAGTTTGAGACCAGCCTAGCCTGGCCAACGTAGCAAAACTCCGTCTCTTCTAAAAATACAAAAATTACCCAAGCCGGGTAGCAGGCGCCTATAATCCCAGCTACTGGGGAGGCTGAAGTAAGAGAATTGCTTGAACCTGGGAGGTGGAGGTTGCAGTGAGCCAAGATTATGCCACTGCACTCCAACCTGGGCAACAGAGAGAGAGAGACTCTGCCTCAAAAAAAAAAAAAAAAAAAAAAAAATCTTTTAAGGAGAAGAGTGACAAATCCTTAAAGGGGTAGCAGAGGGATGAGGGAAGAATCCCAGATAAAATGTTATGGGAATTAGGCAAAGGGGCCAATTATCTTCTGTTGGAAAGAACAAGAAAGCACCCATGTAAAGGTGCCATTTTAAGCAAAAGATTATAGAGAATTAGATATGGGAAGATGACGGAAAAGTCTTCCAGGATCAAGAAACAGTGCAAATAAAGTACAGAGCCATCAAAAAAAAGTTTGGCTGAAGTAAAGAATGTGTAAAGATTACATGAAAGTGAACAATGAGCCTTAAATGACAAACTTTGAATATTATTTTGTAGGATCAAATAAATGATAAAAACGATATCCTTCTCCCATTTTTGTGTCTTTCATCTTCTCTTTCTTACTCTAAAGAACAACTGTCAGGAGGCCGAGACGGGCGATCACGAGGTCAGGAGATCGAGACCATCCTGGCTAACACGGTGAAACCCCGTGTCTACTAAAAAATACAAAAAACTAGCTGGGCGAGGTGGCGGGCGCCTGTAGTCCCAGCTACTCGGGAGGCTGAGGTGGGAGAATGGCATGAACCTGGGAGGCGGAGCTTGCAGTGAGCTGAGATCCGGCCACTGCACTCCAGCCTGGCGACAGAGCGAGACTCCATCTCAAAAAAAAAAAAAAAAAAAAAGGAACAACTGTCACAGACCTATCTGAGAATCTGATGAAGGTAATCAACTCTTCCCAGAAAAAAAAATGGATCTATTATACATCTCGACAAAATTTGTTATACAGAGTATCTCTTAATAATTTGAAGAGGTTGAATGATCAGCAAAATTTTTTTAAGGGAAAGACTTAAAAATATTTGTAAATTTCAGTGATGAGAAAGAGACTGATGATGCAAAAGAGAAAAAACACCACAAATATACATCATTTTAACTTGTCAATTAAAAACATTTTTTCATTTAAAAAAAGGCCAGGCACGGTGGCTCACACCTGTAATCCCAGGCCAAGGTGGACGGATCACTTGAGGTCAGGAGTTGGGGACCAGCCTGGCCAACACAGTGAAACCCTGTCTCTACTAAAAATACAAAAAAAAAAAAGTAACTGTGCATGTTGGCATGCACCTGTAATCCCATCTACTCAGGATGCTGAGGCAGGAGAATCACCGGAACTCAGGAGACAGAGGTTACAGTGAGCCGAGATCACAGAACTGCACTCCAGCCTGCCAGACTAAGCAAGACTCTGTCTCAAAATAAGTAAGAGAAAGAAAAGCAAAAAGAAAGACAAAGAAAGACAAAGAAAGAAGGAAAGAAAAAAAGTAAAGAACGAGAAATAACAAAAGTGATGCAACACAGCCCAGAAGAGACAAAGTAGCCAAAGTGTCAAAAAAAAAAAAAAAAAAAAAGCCAAATGAAATCTCCTTGTAAGGCAAAATTAAAGATCAAATATTAAAAGGCAATTTTCTCATGTTTAAGCTTTGTTACCTTAGGTACTTGCTCCAGATCTGTCCTGGATTTATCTATTTAAAAAAGAAGGGAAAATATTATTTTTAAAACTTGTTTTCATTTTAACTCCATAAAGTACATTTTGACAGATTCAATATTGTACTGGGTCACATCCAAATAGCTACTTAAGTTTATTCCTTCAACAAATATCTATCAAGCACCTATTATATGCCTAGTAGTAGGCAAAGCACTGAACAAAACAATGTTTCAAGTAATTGTAATCTATTACATAGCAGCAATAAAACAGCTAAATACATCTCAAATCTTTTTAATCAGACATAACAAGGCTTTATGCTATTCAGTTGTCCTCAACCCCCAGGCCATGAACGGGTAGTGATCCATGGCCTGTTAGGAACCAGATCACACAGCAGGAGGTGAGCAGTGGCCACAAGCAAAGCTTCATCTGTATTTACAGCTACTCCCCATAGCTCACATTACCATCTGAGCTCCACCTTCTGTCAGATCAGTGGTGGCACTAGGTTCTCATAGGAGCACAAACCCTAATGTGAACTGCACATGTCAGAGATCTAGGTTGTGCCCTCCTTATAAGAATCTAATGCCTGACTATCTATCACTGTCTCCCATCTCCCCCAGATGGGACCATTTAGTTCCAGGAAAATAAGCTCAGGGCTCCCACTGACTCTACATTATGATGAGTTGTATAATTATTTCATTATATTTTATACAATGTAATGGTAGAAATAAAGTGCACAATAAAGGTAATGTACTTGAATCATCCCAAAACTATCTCCCCACAAACCGCTTGGTCTGTGGAAAAATTGTTTACCACGAAACCAGTCCCTGGTGCCAAAAAGATTGAGGACTGCTGTGCTATCTTTTTAAATTTTGGTAAGATTGAATATGGCATGCTACGTAGATTTTTTTTAATGAATTAAATTCTAAAGTAGGAATACTGTTTTTATTGTTTAAAAGATCTATCATCCCTTCCAGAATTTCTTATGATCAAAGGTTGCTTTTTTATACTATATTAATTTTCTTCTCAGTCATCTTAAGGCTGAGATACACACTTATCTTCAAATGAACCTACTTTACTTTCATCCTGCCAATCCAAACTTAGATAAGGTACTACTCTCCTCTTCAAAACCAACCTTTCTGCACTTAGACTCCATTCCCTCCTGCCTCTGCCGTCAGGTTAATCAGTTTATTCTGTCTGTCTCGGTACCTTCAGCCTCTTCCCTTGTACTAGCTCTCTTATCTCTGTATATAAACATGCTCAGTTCTTTCCCATTAAAATGTGTATATATATACACACATACACACATATATATTATATATATATAAAGAAAAAGATAAAACTCGGGGCCAGGACCAGGTTGAGGCAAGGGTGGGACCTCAGATGCAAAAGTACTCACTCTCAGGAATAGTCAAATGCCTCTCTTACCTGATCTAGTCCTGGCCATGAAAAAATATTCTTCCACTCTGTTCCCTGTAGTCAATAATCTATCTCAAATCTTCTAGTGACATAATACTAGTAGTCTACATTTCTTTCTCTTATACTCACTCCTTAATACATAGTATTGAGGTTTCTGGACCTGCCATAAATGCTCTCCCTGAGATGTCCTAATTGCCAAAACAAAGGAGACTTCTCAGTGTACAAATCAATCTATCCCTGAAGTATTCTGACATTATAGACCAACTAATTGTTCTTACTTTCTGAAATCCTTGCTAGCTTTAACTTTTAAGGTGCAATTCTCTCTTGGTTGACTTTCCTATCTCTCTGACCACTTTCTGTCTCCTTCACAGGTATCTCACCTTCTGTCGGCCCATTAAATGCGACAGCTTAATTAGTGCTCCATCACCAGTCGTTTTCTTCTCACTACTCACATCTTCCCTGGGCAATCTCACCCAATGTCCTTGGATTCAACCACCATGCTATTGTCCAGCATACCTGTCTATGATGATATCTACGATACCTACATCTTCAGCCTAAATCTTCAACCTGAGCTCCGCATTGCCAAAAAGGCATGTCCTTCACTGCAAATCTGCAACTAAACTTGCCTCCATCTCCCTCAAAATTCCTCCTCCTATATTGCCTCTCTCACTGAATTGCACTGTCACCCACCTAGTTGTCCAAGCAAGAAACCTGGGAATTGTCCTTGAATCATCTTGCTCCATTACCAATAACTGGCCACCAAAACCTGTGTCTCAATCTCTGAGTTACTTCCCAAAGGCCTAATTTCTTCTCCATCTCCATTGTAACTGTTACTGGAATATCATTTCTCATTTGTATTACTGCAGTAGCCTCCACTGTCTCCTTGCCTCTAGTCTAATCATCATCCCATAATTCACCATCCACAACTATTTTCACATAAAAGTATAATCATAAATCCGATCATGCCTAGTTAAAAATACTATGTAGCTTTATAGTGTCTTCAGAAAAAGTAAAATCCCTTATCACAGCATGTAAGTTTCTTCATGATCTGACCCCTGTCTATGCTTCAGTCTCATTTCTTGCTCCCAGTAGAACCAACATATAAACTCTTACAGTTCCTTGAACATTCTGTTCTCTCTTTATTCTATGGCTTTGTATAAACTATTCCCTTTTCTTGGAATGTCTTCTCCCATGTAAATGTTTCAAACTAACGACTTTAAAACACACGGAATCACTGTCAACTCTAGGAATGCTTCTAAAGCTAAGTTAGGCATGTTATACAACTTTACCACACTGAACTTACTCTTTAATATACAACGATACAATTATTGGTTTATTTCTTTAAACTTATTCAGGAGAACATCAGTTCTTTGAGGACCACAGCTACTTTTTACTCATCTATAGGTTTACTTTAGGGTCTCACTACATTACTGTTCTCAAACTCACAGGATCAAGCAATCCTCCCACCTCAGCCTCCCAAGTAGTTGGGAATATACACATGTGCCATCATGTCTAGCTTACTCATCTATTTTTAAGCAACAAGGAACATACCAAGCACGAAGATATTCAATCAATATTTGTTGAACTGAAGGATTATACTACTGTCAGATCTATTTTTCTCTTAGAAGTTCTCAGAAAATATTATAATCATAAGTTATAAAAATTTTACTAGAAATAAAAATTATAGATATAATAGGCAATAAGGTCTCAAAGATCTTGTTCACTAATATTTATGCTATGCTTTATTATCTATAAATAACACATATTCATACCATGAGTATGTAAAAGAGTCCTTTCAAAGGTATCTTTAGGAGGACAAATATTCTTGCATCTCTCATGAATCTTCTCTCTCTAATAAAAAGACAAATAACATGATCAAGGTATGTGTAAACATGAGTATTCAAAGCAAGAAAATGTTTTGCAACAGAATATCAGAATATGCCACATTAGTCCTACGACTTTGAATATGAATCAGTAGCCCCCTAAACTTAAATACAAGTAACGAGTGTGCTTAATAAACCAAATACCTCTATGAGATCTACACACATCCATATACCTATAACCATTCCATCTTATATAATTATAGTAAATTCTCCATATTTAGAATAAAGTGGGAAAGCAAATGGAAAATATTTATATAACAAATCAATTAGAAGAATAATTTGAATCAAGAAAGAAAATTCAAAAACCTACATATTTAAGATAGAAAGATAGAAATTAGGCCAGGTGCTGTGGCTCACACCTGTAATCTCAGCACTTTCAGAGGCCAAGGTGGGCAGATCACCTGAGGTCAAGAGTTCAAGACTAGCCTGGCCAACATGGTGAAACCCTATCTCTACTAAAAATACAAAAATTAGCCAGGAGTAGTGGCGTACACCTGTAATCCCAGCTACTGCAGAGGGTGAGGCACAAGAATCGCTTAAACCCAGGAGGCGGAGGCTGCAGGGAGCCGAGATCGTGTCAACCAATGCACTCCAGCCCGGGTGGCAAAGTGAGACTCCAAGGAGGGAGGGAGGGAGGGAAGGAGGGAAGGAGGGGAGGAAGGAAGGAAGGAAGGAGGGGAAGGAGGAAGGAAGGAAGGGAGGGAGGGAGGGAGGGAGGGAGGCAGGGAGGGAAGAATTATTGACACGTTCTGAGTCAAAAAACAAAAAAAATCTCACTCTGATTTAGAATCAGATGAACACTAACAACATTATTATATTTTCAGAGATATCACCGAAAGGATACCTGAGAAAGTGAAGTGTGGTAACAAGAAAAGCAGCAGGCCAGCAGTGTTCAGAGTTCTGGTAGCAATTCTATCAGTTACTACAGGACTGTTTTCCAAAATGGCCATACCACTTTGCATGCCCACCAGCAATAAATAAGAGTTCCTGTTGTTCTATATCCTTGTCAACATTTGGTATTGTCAGTGTTTTAGATTTTTGCTATTCTAATAGATATGTAATGGCATCTCATTTTAATTAGGAATTCCTTAATGACATTTGATATTGAGCATCTTTTTATATGCTTATTTGCCATCTGCATTATCTTCTTTGGTGAGGTATTCAGATCTTTTGCTCTTATTTTTGAAGGTAAAATATATATAACATAAAATTTATCATGTAAAATTATTTGCTATGTTGACCATCTTTTCATGTGTTAATTGCACACTTCTATATCTTTTTTGGGAAAAGGTCTATTAAGTCCTTTACTCATTTTTTAATTTGGCTGTTTTGTTGTTGTTGAGTTTTAACTCCTTCGTTTATTTTTGCTACCAGTCCCTTTTTATTTTTTGAGACAGGGTCTAGTTCTGTTGCCCAGGCTGAAGTTCCTCACTGTAACTTCAAATTTCAGGGCTCAAGCGATCCTCCTGCCTCAGCCTCCAAAGCAGCTAGGACTACAGATGCACACCACCATGCCTAATTTTTCTAATTTTTTCTTGTAGAGATGGGTTCTTACTATGTTGCCCAGACTGGTCCTGAACTCCCAGTCTCAAGTGATTCTCCCACCTCCACTTCCTAAAGTGCTAGGATTACAAGGAATAAGCCACCACACCCGACCGTCAATCCTGTAACAGATACATGTTTTGTGAATATTTTCTCCCAGTCTTTGGCTTGTCTTTTCATTCTGTTAACAGTGTCTTTCACAGAGTAGAACTTTTTAATTTTAATGAAGTTCGACTTTTCAATTTTTTCTTTCATGGATTGTGCTTTTCTCATATCTAAAACGTCATTACCAAACCCAAGGTTACCTAGATTTTCTCCTATGTTATCATCTAGAAGTTTTATAGTTTTGCATTTTACATTAAGGTCTATCATCAACTTTGAGCTAATTTCCATGAATAGTGCAAGGTGGTGTGTCTATATTCTTTCTCTTTGGTATGTGGATGTCTAGTTGTTTCGATACCATTTGTTCAAACAACTATCCTTTCTCTATTGAATTACCTTTGCCCCTTTGTTAAAAATCAGGTGATTGTATTTGTGTGGGTCTATTTATGGGTTCTCTGTTCCACTGATCCGTATGTCTATTCTTTCACCAATACGACATTGTCTTGATTACCGTAGCTTTATAGCAAAACTTCAAATTGGGAGGTATCAGTCCTTCAGTTTTGTTCCTCTTTTAATACTGTGTTAGCTATTCTGGGTCTTTTTCTATATAAGCTTTAGAGTCAGTTTTCAATATCCACGAAACCAACTGCTAGGATTTTAATCAGGATTATGTTGACTCTATTGATCAAGTTGGGAAAAAGAGACGCCTTGACAATATTGAGTCTTCCTATCCACATATATGAACTACCTCTCCATTTATTTATTTAATTTCTTTCATCAGAGTCTTGTAGTTTTCCTCAGATAGATCTTATATATATTTAGATTTATACATAAAGGCTTCATTTTCTTTGATGCTAATGTAAATTGCATTGGGTTTTTAATTTCAAATTCCAACTGTTCACTGCTGGTATATAAGAAAGTAATTAATTTTATATATTAACCTGGTATCTTGCAACCTTACTATAGTCACTTATTAGTTCCAGGAGTTTCTTTTTGGATTCTTTGGGATTTTCCACACAATCATTTCATCTGGAAACAGTTTTACTTCTTCCTAATTTTTATATATTTTATTTCCTTTTCTTGTCTTATTACATTAGTTAGGACTTCCAAGACAATGTTAAAAGAAATAGTGAGATGGGACATCCTTACCTTGATCCTGTTCGTAGTGGGAAGCATCTAGTTTCCCCCATTAGCTATAGAGTTTTTGTAGATTTTTCTCTCTCTTGAGACAAGAGTCTCACTCTGTTGCCCAGTCTGGAGTGCAGTGGTGTAATCTTGGTTCACTGCAACCTCCACCTCCTGGGTCCAAGTGATTCTCATGTCTCAGCCTCCCAAGTAGCTGAAATCGCCATTGCAAAATTATAACTGAGACAGTGAAAGAGATCTGACCTAACCAACTCCATCTTGCTTCTAACCTCCAACGTGTTCTTGTCCATTCTTGGGCACAGGGTGAACTAACTTTGGGAGGAATTTAGTTTATAGTTTAAAACAAAGACGATAACAGTCCTTTTCCAAAACAAAACCACCTTCTTGCCTGGGGGCTAGACTGCCTTTGTTGGACTAACAAATTAGCCACAAGATTAGAAATTACGGTTTAGGGGTCAAGTCATGCAGCTGGAGACTACAAGATTCTGACCCTCCCCCTAAACTGCTCCTAAGATCCACGCTTGAGATATTTTGCAGACGCTGTACTTGATAGATTAGCTGGTACCACCCAGATCAATAAACTGGCTCATCTGACCTTGTGGGCCCCACCCAGGAACTGACTCAGCACATGGAGATGGCTTCTCCCTATGATATCATCACTGACCTGACCAATCAGCACAGCCAGCTCACTGGATTCCCCTCACCCACCAAGATGTCCTTAAAAACTCTGATCCTCGAATGCTCGGGGAGACTGATTTGAGTAATAATAAAACTCTAGTCTTCCACACAGCCAGCTCTGCATGGATTCCTCATTCTCTATTGCAATTCCCCTGTCTCAATGAATCAGCTGTCTAGGCAGCAGGCAAGGTGAACCCATCGGTGGTTACATAGCTGGGATTACAGGCGTGTGCCACCATGCCCAGCTAATTTTGTGTTTTCAGTAGAGATGAGTTTCGCCATGTTGGCCAGGCTGGTCTCAAGTCCCGGCCTCAAGCATCCTGCCAAAGTGCTGGGATTACAGGCGTGAGGCGGCACGCCCAGTACATTCTTTATCAAGTTAAAGAAATTCCTTCCTGTTCCTAGTTTGCTGAGAGTTCTTTTTTTAAAAAAATAATGAATGGCCAACACAGGCAGACTGTTTGAGCTCAGGAGTTTGAGACCAGCCTGGACAACATGGCAAAACCCTGTCACTACAAAATATACAAAAATTAGCCAGGTGTGGTGTTGTGGTGGTGCTCACCTGTAGTCCCAGCTACTTGGGGGGTGCTGAGATGGGAGGATTGCTTGAGCGGGGAGGTTGAGGCTGCAGTGAGCTGTGATTGTGCCACTGCACTCCAGCCTGGGCAACACAGCGTGACCTTGTCTCAAAAAAAAAAAAAAAGGTCTAAAGTTTTCTTTACTTATTATGTCTTTGTCTGATTTTAGTATTAGCTTCATGATGGCCTCACCAAATGCATTACAAAGTATGTCCTTAGCTTCTATTTCCTGAAATAGATTATAAATAATTGGTGTAATTTCTTACCGAAATGTTTGGTAGAATTCACCAGGGAACCCATCTGGGCCTGGTGATTTCTGTTTTGAGCAGTATGATTGGTTCAATTTCTTTAATAAATATAGGCCTATTCAAAATATTTATTTCTTGTTGTGTAAGCTTTGGTAAATTGTGTCTTTCAAAATAAATCGGTCCATTTCACCTAGGATATCAAATTTCTGGGCATAGAATTGTTCACAATATTCTCTTATTATCCTTTTAATGTCTGCGGGATCAGTAGAAACAGCCCCTCTTTCATTTTTGATACTAATAGCTTATATCTTCTTTTTTTTTTTTTTTTTTTTTTGAGACAGTCTTGCCCTGTCACCCAGGCTGGAGTGCAATGGCGCAATCTCAGCTCACTGCAACTTCCGCCTCCCAGGTTCAAGTGATTCTCCTGCCTCAGCCCCCAAGTAGCTGGGATTACAGGCGCCCACCACCATACCCAGCTAATTTTTGTATTTTTAATAGAGATGGGGTTTCACCATGTTAGCCAGGCTGGTCTTGAACTCCTGGCCTCAGGTGACCCATCCACCTCAGCCTCCCAAAGTGCTGGGATTACAGGCGTGAGCTACTGCACCCAGCCTTCTCTTTTTTCTTAATGTAGCTAAATGTTTATCAGTTTTATTGATCTCACAAAGAACCAGCTTTTGCTTTTGCTGATTTTCTCTATCGATTTGCTATTGTCAATTTCCCTGATTTCTGCTCTAATTTTTATTACTGCTTTTCTTCTGCTTACTTTGGATTAAATTTGCTCTTCTTTCGATAATTTCCTAAAGTAGAGCTTAGATTAATTTTAAATTTTCTTCTTAAGCATTCAATGAAGCCTTGAGTGCTTATTTAAGCAAGACTTCCCTGAAGCCTTACTTCCCTTGCATCCCACACATTTTTATAAGTTTGTATCAGCATTTCTTTAAGCTCACTGATTTCTTCCCCTGCCACTTCAAGCCTATTGATGAACTCATCAAAAGCATTCTTCATTTCTGTTATACTATCTTTGATTTGTAGCATTTCCTTTTGATTCTTAGTTTCCATCTCTCTGCTTACATCTGTTCTTGCATGTTGTCCATGTTTTCCACTACAGCCCTTAGTATATTAAACATAGTTACTCTGAGTCCCCAGTTTGATCATTCCAACATCACAACCGCATCTCAGTCTGATTCTGATACTTGATCTTTTAAACAGTGTTTTCTGTCTGGTATGCATTGTAATGTTTTGCTGAAAGCCACATATGATATACCAAAGTTAAAAAGAACTGAGGTAAATAGGACTTTAGTATGAAGTTTTGTTTATCTGGCTAAGAATTAGGCTTTATTTACTCACTGTTATAGCTGCAGGTGTCAGAGGCTAAAATTTCCACTGGTGTCCTTGTTTTTCATCTCTCCTGCTATATTCAGGTTTCCCTGCAGACCTCTTAAATAAGGTCTGAGACATGTAGTCCTTTCAGTTGTATTCTCATTATTCAAGCACCCCACTGATGTGGTGGTAATGTGTGAAGGGAGGGGAAGCATTCTATGATCTTATGATTAGGTTTCAGTCTTAGTGAGCCTGTGTCCCTGGGCTGTGACCTTCACAGGTACTTCTCAGTTGTTGATTTTCAGTTTGCTCAGATTTTTTGTTGTGAGAACAGGAGTGACAACTTCCAAGCTCCTTACATGACAGATCAGAAGTCTGTTTAACTTTTTAAGAAACTGCCAAACTTTTTTCCAAAGGGGTTGCAGCACTTTAAATTCCCACCAACAGTATATGAGAGTTCCAGTTACTCCATGAAGGCTGGCAGTAGGATGAAGCAAGCAAGCATACGGTACAATATTTAAGGAGGTACCCACTCTCAGATTCCAGTGCCTCTCACATTTTGCTCACCTGCCTCACCTTATCCTAGAACTAGCTCCGTCTTCCACATCCTTACCAAAATTTGAAATAATGTCTGTAGATTTGGAATTACTGTTTCTGTAAATGTTTGGTAGAATTCTCCAGTGAAGCCATGTGGACCTGAGCTTTCTTTGTGGAAAGGTATTTAACTATACATCAATGTAACAAATATAAAGTTACTTCAGATTTTCTATTTCTTTTGTTTTGTTTTTTGAGATGGAGTCTTGCTATCGCCCAGGCTGGAGTGCAATGCCTCGATCTCAGCTCACTGCAACCTCCACCTCCCAGGTTCATGCGATTCTTTTGCCTCAGCCTCCCGAGTAGCTGGGCCTACAGGTGCACACCACCATGCCCGGCTAATTTTTGTACTTTTAGTAGAGGCGGAGTTTCACAATGTTGGCCAGGCTGGTCTTGAACTCCTGACCTCAGGTGATGTGCCCACCATGGCCTCCCAAAGTGTGGGGATTATAGGCATGAGCCACCATGCCCAGCCAGATTATCTATTTTTTCTCAAAAGATATTTGGTATTTTGTGTCATTCAAGAAATCTGTAAATTCATTTAAGCTGTTGAATTTATTGGCACAAAGTTATTCATAATATTTCATTATTAGGCTTTTAATCTCTGTAGAATCTGTAGTGATATCACCTTTCTTATTCTTGTTATTGGTGACTTGTATCTTCTCTTTTTTTCCTAATCAGTATTGCCAAAGGCTTATCAAGTTTATCTTCTCAAAGAATCAGCTTTTGGTTTCACTAATTTTCTCTATTGTTCTCTGATTTTGACTTTGATGTTTATTCTTTCTTTTATCTGTTTAATTTTTTTTTTTTTTTTTTTGGAGACAGTGTCTTGCTCTGTCACCCAGGCTGGAATGCAATGGTACAATCTCGGCTCACTGCAACCTCCACCACCCAGTTTCAAGTGATTCTCCCACTTCAGCCTCCCGAGTAGCTAGGATTACAGGCACTTGCCATCATGCCTGGCTAATTTTTTTGTATTTTTATAGAGATGGGGTTTTGCCATGTTGGCGAGGCTGGTCTTGAACTCCTGACCTCAGGTGATCCGCCCACCTTGTCCTCCCAAAGTGCTGGGATTACAGGCGTGAGCCACTGTGCCTGGCCATTTTTCCAGCTTCTTAAGGTGTAAGCTGAGGTCACTGATTTGAAATCATTATTCTTTCAATAATATATGCATTCAGTGCTACCAATTTCTCCCTAAGTGCTAACTGAGCATCACCCCACAAATCCTGATATGTTGTGTTTTCATTTCCATTCAGTTCAAACTACCTTCTGATTTTTCTTTCTTCTTTGACTCACATTTTATTTAGAAGTATAAAGTTCTGGTTTCCAAATATCTGTGGATTTTCTACCAACCTTTCCATTATTAATTTCTATTTTAATTATACTGTGTTCAGAGAGCATACCGTGTATGAGGTGAAGTCTTCCAAATGTATTATTAAAATTTGTTTTCAAACCTAGAATGTAGTCTATGTCCATAAATGTTTCATGAATACTTGGAAAAAAAAGTATATTCTTCTATGTTATATGGAGTGCTCTTTCAAGTCAGGCCAGGTTGGTTAATGGTTCAAGTCTATTAAAATCTCACTGATACTCTGCTTGTCCCATCATTTATTGAAAGAGTATTTGAAATCTCCACAATTATGAATAGCTACTTTGCCATAAAGTTCTCAGCTTCTGCCTCACATGTTTTGAAGCATATTAGGGGCAAAAATGTTTAAAACTATTATGTCTTCTTGATTAACTGACCCTTTTATCATTATAAAATAACATTCTTTATACATATTAATAGTTTTTGCTCTGAAATCTACTTTGTTATTAATATAGCCATTTCTGCTTTCTTTCGACTACTGTTAAGCATAGTATATATTTTTTCATCCTTTTAAATGTTTTTTTCTTTCTATTCAAAGTATGTTTCTTATATACAGCATATAATTGGGTCATCAAATCTCACAATCTCTACCTTTTAATTGGGATGCTTAAACTATTTAGATTTCATGTAATTAGTGATATAATTAGGCTTAAGATTATCATCTTGAAATTTATTTTATGTCCTATCCATTCTTTCTTTTTTTCTTTTTATGCCTTTGTTTGGATTGAGAATTTTTAAAATTCCATTTCTCTCTTCCATTATTAGCTGTAATTCTTTGTTTTGCTATTTTAGTGGTTGCTTTAGGGTTTATTGTTAAACCCCTTGCT